TCTCCCCCAAGATTTTGAGTGTTCCTATCATACGTGTAATTTGCACATAACTTGCATTTTCTCATTTTCTTCTCATATCACCCTGGGAAAGTAGTATGATGTGCCCCATCTTATAGACTTCAAAGCCGAAGTTCAAGAGGATCACACCTGAAGTGTGGTTGGTCTCAATTTTAGAGTAAAATAAGGGACGCAAGAACCCTTTTTACCTTGGGTACTGGGCTCTTACAATGCAAGCAAAGGCAGGAAAGAGGACTTTGGGTGTGATTAAGTCAGAACATACAAGAAACACTCAATCAGGAAACTGGCCAAGTAGGAATTCAAAAAGAAGAAACCTGTTGCTTTTCTTATAACAAAATGAATTGGACCAATTAGTTTTCTTTAGTTCAGGTTAAGCTCAACCATGGTAACTGAGACACACACACACACACACACACACACACACACACACATAGCCAAGATTTTCTTAATCATGGTAATATATTTGAAAACTGGCCAAACTTTAATATGTTTGAAGACAGACTCCATAAGTCTACAGTTATTTAAAAATAAAATGCTTTTGGGGGTGCCTGGGTGACTCAGTTGGTTAAGCATCTGACTTTGGCTCAGGTCATGATCTCACAGTTTGTGGGTTTGAGCCTTGCCTCAGGCTCTGCGATAATAGCTCAGAGCCTGGAGCCTGCTTCAGATTCTGTGTCTCCCTCTCTCTCTCTCTTCCCCTCCCTTGCTTGTGCTCGCTCTCTCTCTCTCTCTCTCTCTCAAAAATAAATAAACATTTAAAAAATGTTTTTTAAAAAAGATAAGCCCTATAAGGAAAATAAGGAAGATATTAATATCCCCATACAATGCCCAAGTGCCTGTCGACTGGATAAGTCATGTCTATATTAGGGTTTGCCAAAAAACATAGATAAGAAGGGTATATATTGACTGTACTATTAGCATTGCTGTGTACCTATAAAATCACCAGCCTACAAATGCAAGCTTTCTATTAAAAATGCAAATTTGTGCGTGACCATGTAAATATTTACTATAAAAGTACATTAAAAACCAAACCAATCCCTTTGGTTTAATTGCACAGCAATTAACTTTCTTTTCTTAACTATTCTACCCTAACTTACTTATTATTTCCATCTAACGACATAAAGGCAAGGACATTTAATTCTGCGGCAGTTTCCAGAAATATGCCTACCAGCCGATCATAAAAATTCTGAAAATTTACATTTAAGCCTCCGTAAAACTATACTATTTGAATTCCCAATATGACCCTGGACATTTGTTAATGCTGAAAATTAGTGGTATTTCCTCTCCCTCAGCCAAGAAAAGTCTCTCCTATCCTCGTCACAAAGCGTTTTGAACAGCTATTTTTAAATGGAATCCATTGATTACCCCCCTAGAACTGAGATTTTATGTTAATATACTGTTGTAGATGCATTGAATCTGGCCAAAGAAAGTACATATAGTCACAAAATCCCAAAATATAGTTGAAGGAGACAAATATACAGCTAGCTTCTTGTTGCCTGTCATGTCTTCTAACTTGTTTTACTGAGGGAGATTGATTCCTCAATCACTGCAGTAAGGAGGACATAAAAACTCAAGACTACTTTGATCAAGTTGCTTCACCCCAACGAGAAGAGTTTCTTTGTTGTTGTTTACTTAAAATCCTGCAACAAAAATCAAAATGCTACAAACTTTGCTACATGCAATGTGCAGGATAAAACTCTTTCTCAAGATTGCCCTTCTTAGGAGAAATGTGCATTGAATCAAATTCTAAATTTTGCATCACCCTTTATGATGAGGCACTTTCTTCTACCTTAAAGAGAAGTGGTCACTTCCATAGCAGAAGTCTGTTAGTCTTAGTTTTTATCAGGAAGGAAGGAAAACCAACATTGAAGGTACGAATTCATAAAACCTTTCCTCAAGTGTCCTCAGCAACTGCTTTGCATGGTTTTCATATCTGCTTCTGACAATGATGACGTTTCTAACTCCTCTCCCCTGAACATATGTTTTATAATGTTAATGGGCATTTTGATAACTGTGCGTGTTCCAGTAACAAACTGGAAATTATATGGTTGGGGAGCATAATCCTAATACAGATAATTTGAGAGAAAGATTTCTTAGAAGACAGAGGTCTTGATTCCAGCAAAAGTTCCATGCTTTTGAGGCTCAGTGTTTGGCCCGACACCACAAGGCAGAGCTGAAAGGTGCACTGTGACCCTCTCCACCAGAGACTGGCAGGTACAGGGCAAGAAAATCTTTCCCAATAGAGCAGAAGATGGTCCTCTGTTCCTGATTTGCTGTGCATCTTCCAAGAGAAAGACAACTTCTGAAATTCCCTTCCACTTTCTCTGATCATAGTTCCTCGGTGAAAGGCAACCCATCCTTTTTTTTTTTTTTTTTTTTTTTTTTTTTTTTTTTTTTACAATAATATCAAATCGTATTTTCCCCCCCAACTTGATTGAGATATAATTGACACAAGCCAATTCTCATATCAGGAATTCTGCCTTGGTACTGAGATCAGACCCAGTTTGGAGCTCGATTCTGCTGCCCCCCGCCTTCACAGTATAGGAATACATAGCCTGATACCCAAGGGGGAACAGTCACTTAAGCTCCATATGTATATTTCATATACATGCACATATGACGTATGCAACAAAGAACGCCCTAATGCTGCATCTGGACCCAGGACAGGGTAACCATAACAGATCTGAGCTGACTCACACTTCCAGCTTAATCTATTTCAGGCAGTTGCTCTACACTGAATGATTGGGACTATATCAAAGAACATTTGAGCACAGGTAGGTTATTAATTAATTGGGAGATGATAATAGAATAGAAAATATCCACTAGTAATTCTGTACGTCAAGACTCATCTTGTTCAAGAGTGAGTAAGAAAGAATAAAAACAAAATAAAATAAAATAAAGCCCTATGCACAATTATTTAGGACTTCAATGAACACAATCAGAGAAGAAGATTCAGAAAGACAGATCCATGATGCATATTTGAATAGCCAAAGCCTGAATCTGGCATAAATTTCACAACCTCAGAGTGATTTGTTGGAATTTGCAAATTAAGCACAGAGATGGTATTTCTAAAAAAGGTCTTGCAGGAATTTTAACTCTCATAATAAAAGAAAAATTTATCTAGATATGTTGAATTCTTAAACTTAAAAAAAAAAAGTCTAATAGTTCATCTAAACATCAACAGCCAAAAAGTCATAAAATCATTCAGGGAAATTTTTTTCCTAGCATTAAACAGAAGGGCTGAATAAGAATTGGGAGGTTGTGCTATTATCTCAAATTCTGATGACTCTAGAAAGTGTAATCCATTGGACAAATAAGTCTTTACTTTGCGCAACTGGATATAGTTTACTGCCAGCATAATTCATAGTGAGCAACTTATAAATAAACTCCAACGATGCACAAACTATACACAAATACATATCGACCCCTACATTATAGAGGGTTAAAAATATGCATGAGACTCATGTAAACAAAAAATATAGAAGCACATGTAGAGAAACATACTTAGTGTAACTCTCAGTTTCCTGGGTATTTAACTAGTCCCCACCTAGTTTTACATAAAAATCTGACCTCTTTCCTTTCCATCCTTCCAGCTTTGAGGGCAACTTCGGCGAAAGCAAGTTCCACATTTAGAAATTTAGGGATGAGAGAATGGTAGGTGCCATGCCTCCGGCCACCCTCCAAAAATGAGAATCTATTTGATGATAAATTCACCATCTTAGCCTAAGCTCAAAACAAGAAATCACCATAGGATAATTAAAAACACCCCATGAATCTCTTCTCTACAAACCTACGACCTGTAACTGGTTTGGGTTCCTATTTCTTAAAGAGAATTTGGCCAATCCTCCTTAGAGATTTCAGAGGAAAAGGAGGATTTTCCAAGACAGATAAGTTGAAATGATCCCGCTTTGATCTCTGTGGTTAAGAATCCCTCACAATAGAAGATGGCCACTGAGGGGCCGCGATCCCGGCCTTTTAATGCGTAACAATGCTATCAACAAACAGCTACTTAATCAATATTTGGCCAGAGCTGCTGAAAACTTCCTTTTCAGATTTTAATTCCTAGTTGTAAAACAACCCCAGAGCAGCCAGTGAGATAAGGCATTAAACTGACTGCTTAATTGCCTGTTAGTGTCTTGTTAGTTATATATGTACATTCTTAATGGTTCTTTAATCTTTATTTACCCACATAAATAAGTTACCTGTCTAGAACCCCACCGAACTGAACCTTCTCTGTCCTCAGTCCTGAACAAACTTTGTCTCACTCTTTGTTTAGGGCTGATGTTGCGACTTTTAACTTTCATTGGCTATTTACTTATGTGCAGCTTAAACATTTAACCTTATGGTTAGGAGGGATTTTTTTTTTTTTGTCTTGAAAACATATTTATTCATGGAAATTGAGTTCAGTGGCAACGCTCCTATTCACCTGATTGATTTCCACATATCCCACTCTCCTGAACCGCGGGGCACTTGCTGGTTCCGCCTCACTACCCCGGTGGGTTTTATTGCGAAGCCCTGGGGACTCTTAAATGACCCTTCAGTAATTATTACGCACTTGAAGCCCCTAGTCCCCGTTCCGGTGCTATCAACAATCAAATCAAGCCCCAAAATAAACATACGATTTCAAGCATTAATTAGAAAATCTGCATGTTTTCAATAAGGCCAGAAAGTAAGCATACAGCAGCCAAACAAACAAACAAGCAAAAAAGAAAAACCTGCAAAGATCTGAACTCTGGTGGTTTTCTTTTTTCTTTCCTCTTTTGTTTTCTTTCTTTCTTTCTCTCTCTCTCTCTCTCTCTCTCTCTCTCTCTCTCTCTCTCTCTCTCATCATTCCAACAGGAAAATCGCTACCATTACGTCCCTGAAAAGGACCCAGCCTGGTGTTTTAATTTAATTCAAGTGCTGATATTTCCAATACACTTTTACATGGGTGCTATTTCCTTGTTGCGTATTTTAAGGACTTCAGAAAACATAAACTTCACTCAAAAGACTAGAAGGCGACATTGGGGTCAAATTGAGGATTCTGACAAACGGACTTGGAGAGTGGCCTGTCCACTTTAATAAAGGTTCCGATGCCACAAACCTAAGATCTTATACCCCGGGATTTCAGTCTGTGGGAAAGTTCCTCCCCCCCTCCCCCGCTTTGCCTCGCGCCAAAACGTCCTTCCCTTGCTAAGTCGGGGGGAAGAAATGGCCTTCGTTCCTCTCGACTTCAGTAGCGCCCCCGTCAATGATAAAGTGTTCTTTTCATGATTCCATTGGAAACGAAATATTTCAAGGGCCTTTAAAACTTCTGTGCGTTTTTACTTGCTTTATCTTCTGCCCCGCCGAAAAACTGACAGCGTCCTAGTTATTTCAGAAAAGCTCACAAGGTTTCAAACAAAAAGGGACACGAGCAAAACTTTGGTCACTTTTACTTTCTCAAACAAACAAACAAACAAAAAACAAACAAAAAAAAAAA